GTTTTCTATTATTTAATATTAACTTTCACTATATTTTCCTTCTCAACTATTTTATAAAACCTTCTTTAGCAAATAAACTAAATTTCTATATATTCTTTCTTCCCCACACAAATTTTCTCTCTCATCAACTTACAACTAAATTTTGGAGACAAAAAAGTGTGCAAAACATAGCTCCAAATGTAATATGACAAAAAAACATTGGAGGATGAAGTTGCTAACCTTGTAGGCACCTCCGATTTGTATATAATCACCAAAATAAATTCACTAGAAATTTTGGCATGACCTCCCCTCTTTTTTGAAGAAATTTTGAAGCTTGCTCGGGCAGCTGGAGGAGGAAGAAGACATATATATATATATATATATATATATATATATATATATATATATATAGGGGTGTGACTTTAGTCCCAGTTGGTGTTATGAACCGGGACTAAAGATCCCGGGGGGCCTGACAAGCCCTGACAGCATTTGAACCAGGACTAAAGATCTTTAGTCCCGGTTGGTATTACCAACCAGGACTAAAGATCAAATATACCCGTTACCCTTCCAGGTTTTTATTGCAATCGGGACTACTGTGGAATTCGGCCGACCGACGAAAGATGGTTTCTCCACCAGTGTAGCCCATACATCCACAAGCATTGTACATATTTCAAGAATACATTTCAAATATCCCAAGGTTACATTCGTTCAGTTATGCTTTTCAAATGCTCACCACCTTTTCAATTATGAGAAGGCTAAATTTGTTTTTCAAAAATAATCTTTGCTATATAGTTAGTTTTAGAATTCTTTTTACCCATGTTTAATGAGTAATCCAACAACTATCTCACTGACCATATCAATGTTTAAAATGACACACTGGAGGATCTATATGACGATGATTTTGCATATTTATGTCCTTCCATCCATACCTTAAGGAAGAACCGAATTTTTTTTCAAGTGTAACAAAATCATGTGATTTGCGGCCGTGTGTATTCAAAATTTTCCCGAAATGCAATTTTAGAAGACACACTCTAATTTCGTTTAGGCTGCATTCCTAGTTACGTTCATTTTGAGTAGATTGGGAGAAAAATTACTCGTTTTTCACGCGCACACTTTCTCTCTCCTAAACGATGGTTTATTGCAAAAAGATTTTACTTTAAAAGTGCATATTAATATATTTGTAAATCTAAAATAATTAACACTCAATTAATCACAACCTAACTATAACTCTTCTCGTTTTACGTGTCATCCCAATCTTTTTCATTTTCCCCTTCCAAACTCCACCTTTACCCACACTGCAAAGGTGCAAACGATTTTGAACATATATATATATATATATATATATATATATATATATATATATATATATATATATATCTAATTTGTATACAAATTAGATGAGTTGATCACGTGAATATATATTAAAATCTCTACTTAAATCTTTATTTTTACCACTTGTTAGATCTCACTTAGAAATAAGTATCAACATAATAATAGTTATTATAGTATGGTATCACTTGTTATGGTATCACTCTTATCCTTATCATCTCCTTCCTACTGGCGAGAGCAGATCGAGGAGCGAGAGCGAGCGAGCGAGGCTGGCGGAGGGCCTGCGCGCACCGGAGCCGGGAGGGCAGGCGGCCGGGCGGCGGGCGACGGCATGGCCGTGCGCAGCCACGCGCGATGGGCGGCGGCTGGTGGTGGGCAGCGGCCGGCGGAGGACGGCGACCGGCAGTGTGGCCGCGCTGCAGGCGGCAACCTGCGCCTCTACCGGAGGGGAGGCGGCAGCGGCATGGATTTTTTTTTAAGAATTTTTTATTCATTGCATGGATCTGAGATGTATTTGATATGTATGCGATGTGAATACATGATGTATTTGTGATGATTTTTTAGAAATTGTGATATAATTTTTTTAGAATTTGTGATGTATTTGGAGATGATCCATTTGAGAATTTGGAAATATATCCTTTTGTTCTGTGATATGTAATGATCGATTTAGAGATGATTTGAGGATGGAGTGAAATCAATATTTAATGTTAAAAACAATAAAAAATAGCAACCAGACCTAGCCTGACTCTATCTTTATTTTTAATCTCGATTATTTCACCCAAGACTAAAGATGGATATCTTTAGTCTCGGATTCGTGGCTCTGGTTGCATAACCGAAACTATAAGGGAGGTACCAACCGGGACTGATGCCCCTTTCTCCAGCAGTGTACAGAAGAAACCCACAACCTTTCCACCCGACGAGTGATAGTTTTGCCCGTTAAGAGACATGTAAGGATAAAAATTGAATTATACATTGCTCCTAATTAATAAAGTAAATACTCGTCAGGTTCCGGGTTTCAGGCCCCATTGTCATCTCTAGGTTGGTCTATCCTACTAAGAGCAAGTATAATAGTAGGCTATAAGCCGGCTAAATGCTGAGGTGGAGGAGAAAAGAGAGGAGAGAGAGGAGAAACGGGCTGTAAACTTACAGCCGGCTTGGACACAAGAACCAAGAAAATCTGTGAAAGGGACAAGTGGGCCCTATATTAATTGTAAAGAGCTAACTATTATATGGGTAGGCTAAGAGAAGGCTGCAAAGAACCTTATAGCCAACAGGTCAGCTGTATTATTAGCCTTGCTCTAACATGCTAATACGTGTGGGGGGAGGGCTGTGGGCATTGGGCATTGAGCATATCACACACCAAAGGAGTACTTTTTTTTTTGAGAACCACCAAAGGAGTACTTGGGGTGGGTGCAGAGGCATGACATAGGTGCATTCATACAGAGTTTGGATTGGTTTGCGTGGAGATGAATCGAGGATGGGAGAGATTGTAACTTCAGACCGCGCATATGGTGCACGACATTTGTTCGCATCACGAACAAGTGATGTTTTGAATAGGGTGAATAGTCAAAGTGGTCCTCCAAGTTTCATCTGAGGCTCAGTTTAGTTCTTGATGTTTCAATCTATCCATATTAGTCCTTCAAGTTTTCATTTTAGTTCAAACTTATCCTTGAACCAATAACTCTCTTCATAAATGACACTTATACCCCTCATCATTCACATATATAAGAGAAAAATTGCATGTTTGAATTTTTTATAGATAATACATAGTATATTATGTAAAACAAAAAAAAATTATGTACTAACAAGTGTATACGATAGCAATTGCTTAAGTTTCATGTGCACATGTTGAAATAATGGGAAGTACATCTGTAATGTTGTTTATTCATGTTGGCTTTCTCTTTTCTAGTATATAGATGTATACAAATTAAGGGCAAACAAGACATTTTCTAATAGAAGTATTGACTAGAAATAGCCATATGGCATATTAAGTGGACCCAATGATGGTTTCAAGCCAAAACAAATATTTGAAGGACCTATGTGGACAAAATGAAATATGAAGGACCAAATTGAGCCTTCGCCGAAACTTGAGGGACTAAATTAGCTATTCACTCTTTTGAATACGTGCAGTTTGCAATGATATTTTTTTTATATTTCTAATTCAACTTTTAAAAATGGGAAGACTATAGATTTGTCTTCAAAATAGTTTCAAAGTGTTATAATTTGCTTGTATGTTTTCTTAGGTTTTATACTAATATTACTAATTAATAATATCCAGGTGACCATGTCAATGTTTAAAGGGTTAAAACGCCACCTATATATATATGTCATGACAAAAATATATGATGGTGGTTTGTCATATTTATGTGCTTCCATGTGGCCATGTATTATGTATATTCGAAAATTTCCCAAAATACAATTTAACAAGGCCGATGCAGCATTCTGAATTAGGAATCTTGATGCAGCACATTATAATGTTTTGGTGAAAATTGAGCATCCTTTTAATTGCACAGGTACAATGATGTCTCCAGATATCGCTGAGATATTTGTGAAAGACATGATGTTGGCTAGATACATGCATGTACCAATATATGCCAACAATGTGATTTGAAGAAAAAAAATACAAAATAAAAGTTATCATCAAGATAGACTGATACATGTAACAAAGGTGCATAACTAGGCGTGACCCATGCTATGTAGATATGGTATATCTAGATGGACCCAACCTGCTAACATGCGTGGGAGCATAGGCCTATAGATGCCCCTTGAGCATCACGGATAAAAGGAGCCGAGCAAGAGTGCCCCATGTTGCAAGAGTTGTGCGTGAGGTGGGCACGGAGGCATGATATAGAGGTGTAAGTGGCTAACCCGCGAAACCCACTTATAAGCTAAAATAAGCCGCGAGCCCGCTTATTAGCCTATAAGTGGGTTCGCGGCTGACCCACTTACACCCCTGGCATCACATGATGACAAAGGCATACATGCGGAGGTTTGGATTGCGTGGAGATAAGACTTATTGGGCATTCGTTCCAGTAACAAACAAAAGATGCTTTTCAAATACTCACCACCTTTTCGATTATGAGAAGGCTAAATTTGTTTTTCAAAAATAATCTTTGCTATGTAGTTTTAGAATTCTTTTCACCAACACTATATTGGTAATCCAACAAACTATCTCGCTGACCGTATCAATGTTTAAAGGGAAAATTGGAACCATGCCATTATAATTTTGTAAAATTTGAGATATGCCATCCTGACCCACATGTCATTGACTCATGTGGGTTCTACATGTCATTGAGATACCGATGACATATCTCAAACTTTGTAAAATTATAATGGCATGGTTCCAAATTAGCCTTGTTTAAAATGACACATTGGAGTAAGAAGCACTTCTCGACCAGCATATATGATGATGATTTTGTATATTTATGTTCTTCCATCCATACCTTAAGAAACAACGGTATTTTTTTCTAGTGTAATAAAATGTGGCCGTCTGTACTCAAAATTTTCCCAAAATGAAATTTTAAAAGGCACACTCTAATTTCCTTTAGGCTGCGTTTCTAGTGTAGTTCGTTTCGAGTTGACCCTGAGAAAATTTACTCAATTTTTCACGCGCACACTTTCTAAACTCTCCTAAATGATTGTGTTGTTTGCAAAAAGATTTTACTTTAAAAATTTATATTCTAATACCTAATTAATCATACTCTAGTAATAATAATTCTTATCGATTTACGTGTCATCGCAATATTTTTCACTTTCCCCCTCCCATACTCCACACCTTTACCCACACTAGAAACAGTTTTGCTAGTCCCACTCCAAAACCATATTGCCCTAGCGAAACAATCAAACGGTCCAAACCCATTGGGCCCCCACCAACCAACCCCCCCTTCCCTCCGACCCCATGGGCAACTCCCGCCGCCCCGCCGCCGCGGCCACCGCTCCGTCGCCGTCGCCGCCGGCGTCGGACCTGGAGGTAGGGTTCGCCAAGCTTCAGGGGGAGGACTTCGAGTACTACATGCAGACCTACTCCATCGTCCTCGGCCGCCACAGCCGCAGGAGGAACCAGCCCGTCGGCGTCGGAGTCGGCGTTGGCGTCGGCGGCGGAGGCGGAGGCGGAGGCGACGCCGCCGCGGACGACGTGGACGTCGACCTCGGGATCCTCGGCGGCGGGATGAACGTGTCGCGCCGCCACGCGCGCATCTTCTACGACTTCCCGCGCCGCCGCTTCGCGCTCGAGGTGCTCGGCAAGAACGGGTGCCTCGTCGAGGGCGTCCTCCACGAGCCCGGCGGCGAGCCCGTCAAGCTCGACTCCCAGGACCTCCTTCAGATGGGGGACGCCCAGTTCTACTTCCTCCTCCCCACCCGCTCCGTCTTCGCCACCGACGCCGCGCGCCGCGCCTCCGCCGCCGCCCGGCGCGCTGTCCCGCCGCCTCCCTCCTCCTCCTCCGACGGCGATGATGGGGAGGAAGAACGCGAAGCGGCGGTGGCTAAGCGGCCGAGGAACGGAGACGCCGGGTCTCTCGCTGGTCGGTATCAGAATCTCGCGATTCTTCATTTCTATCGGATTATTATTATTTATCGCTGTTGGATTGTGCGACCTAACATTATCTTATCAAATACCAGTAGAATTTGATTTTGATATGTTACATATCTTATCCTCATAGGGCTACTTGCAAGCGTCACTCAATTCCGTTATAAATAAGATACAAATACATTTGGGGATACAGGGGGGCTGCTTGTGTGTTACTGTGGCAATTGGGTGGTTTCTGGGTGGAACTTTGCTTCCTGTTTGATTTGATTGGATAATACGAATGACTGCTTCTGGTTTCAGGTGAAAAATGAAAAAGGTTAATGGACACGGTTTTGAATGTGTGGTGATGCAAAACAAGAAATCAGGGTGTTCGTTAAGTTTTTGCTAATAATCTAATTTGCTATTTTTTTGTGCCCACAAATTCAGTTTGCTGTGGGCATTATGTTTCTTTTATGATCTTTGTAAGAACCTATTTGCTTGCCTGCTGCATATTGAGTTTGCAGTTTCTGATCCCGTGCCTTGTGTTGCTAATGGTTCTTTATGTCTTATCAACATTTAGGACTTAGAAGACGTGAGTGGTGAAAATTAGCGACTTATGCAAGTGATTTGTTCACTAAACTGCAGTTTACATGTCATTAGAAATTTATAATATGTATGTTGAGCAATCTAAGTTTGTTGGACTGTCTTTTGCTTCCTTCATGGATACATAAAAGTGATATGCAATATGAAAGTTGCAGGGGATATTTGGATAATAGATTTTTGTCTTATTCATGCAAATTTTGGTTACTTAGTTATGATAATTTGCATATGAGATCATTTGTCAATTTTTCCTCTTACCATTTCTTTACAATATTGGCATGTGTAGCTTGAATAGCATGTCTATCTATAAGCTATTTCCATCATGTTGCTTTTGTCACTTCATTTTTCTTTGAATTACGCAACAATCCTCTCATCAGAACTCTTACATTGATACATTCTTTCCTATTTTTTGAATAGCCCATTGTGTTGATTTTGCCACATTTATCTGTTAAAGTTTCCAGGAAAATTTGGTTCTATCTTATATTGATTTGTAAGTTATGTTCTTACCTGAGCAATTCAAACTCTATGAAATCTGATCTTAGTAATTACTGTGACAACCTTTAGACGTTCCTGTGCCTTTTAATTTTTATCCTAGGTTTTTGAATGCAATCTACTAAAGGAACCACATACAGTTTTCTATATTTTTGGTTTTTAAATAATCTCAACATTGCTATTTCCTTTAGTTTTAGTATATTTGTGAAGGAATAGTTCACAGGCTTAGTGTATCAGTCTTCTGAAAGGGTGGCAATTCATCTAACTAATGCATTTGGATGGGAGTGGTTGAATAGTAGCTAATGTTACCAATTTGGCATCGATGAAAGTTCTATCATCATTGTATATAGTACTACAGGACATATGCTGATATCCTTTATATATAAGTTCATATTACCCTCAAATTACTTTGAGCATGTTGAAAATAATTAATCTATTTGGGTATTTTGTACAGGAAGGAAGTCTGAGAAGGGATCAAAAGGTTACAGACAATCAGATAACCTACAACTCTTGCAGTTGGAAGAGAAAGATGTTATCTCATCAACAGCTACTGTCTTATCTGATCTCTGTGGACCTCAGGAATGGGTGCCTATGGACAGGCTTCATGAAGTGGTAACTTTCTCAATCTTTTCTTCATTCCTCTTGACGAAATGATCACATGTCTAAACATAGCATTTGGGGTTTTTTTTTCTGTTTGTTACTTAACACTGCATGAATTGATAACAACATGCCTGCTCCTGCATTTTGTTTATTCGGCTCATTTATGAAAACGATAATACATTTTTCTAGCATCCTTGCAAGGTAATAAACTAAACTTACAAGATAAAAATATGATCATTCTGTTTTTAACATTCTACCAGAGCTAAACAAATGGCGGAAACTGGTGCTTTTTCAGAAGAATAAATATTTGTAAAATTTGTGCTCTCCTGCTACCCTTTCATCCTTTATCCAGGAAGGCCCTGTGCTATGGTCTATGGCATCACCTTACTTGTCCACTGTCCATATTAGCTTATTTATGTTCTACTGGTGGCAAGTTTTGAAAGGGATAAGTCCTTATTAGCCCCCTTATCTGTCACGTTTGTCTAAAAGCAACCCTAACTCCAACATTGGGTATTAGCGAGAAAAAAGAAAGAGGGAACGGAGAGAGGTGGAGGAAGAAGATGAAGAAGGTTGTCAATGACATGTGGGCCCTACTGTTTGTTTTAGACTTATTGGCTGACAGTAATGTCACGCTAGCGTCATGTAGGCAAAAATCCACTCTGGTGACTGAGTGTAAAGTAAACGGTTTATGGAGTTACCTTTCTTTTGACCTTAATTGAGGCTGCCTAAATGTTCAGTGATAGTCTTTCTGACCTGAATTGAGGCTGCCGCAGTCTTTGTATATTGCAGCCAACAGTTAAGGAAAAATACTTCTCAGGCTATGCTACTCTCCTAAGCCTGGTTTTCACAATATGGCTCTTTCATATATCTTTTACACATGAATCCGGGACCACATGTCTGTAAGGCACTAAGGCATAGGCAACATTGCCTGTCATAATGCAACTGATGTTTCAAATTTTGGGGCACAAATTTGGCCATTTTGTTTGTATATAATTCTCCCTCAGTTCACAATATTGGTCAAATTATCCTATTTAGAGATTTATTTGTTTGTTGCACTACACGATTGCCTTGACTAGCATAGCATCAATATATATGTATGGAGTACTACTTCACAATTCTTATTTTTATTCCAGTAATCCATAAGAATAAATTTTGCCAAGATCGTGTTACCCACCACATGATGTAGCTTCTTAGTAGTAGTGACCAGATTGAATTGTTACTCATCTAGAATCATCCCTTAAAATGATGGGTTACCAGCAATTCTTCTGATCACAAATTACCAGTGTAAAATCATTTCTCACTGCCTTCTTAATGACATAGCTGCATAAGTTGTAGAAATATGTTCCAATTGGTATTTTCGGTTTCAGCTGGTTGAACAGTGCAGGCTTTTAGTTTTGTTTTCATCTGATGATTACAGCATAAACAATCATTTTGAAAGAAATCGGGCTCTGCTAGAAACTGTATACTTGGTAGTTCAAGTTCTTTGGTTCTTAACCAGTACTCTCTTGGTTTTTAGTTCTTTAGTTGAATTTTGTTTCAGGGATAGTTTGTGTTCGTCTTGCACCTGTGCTAATGAGTTTGTCATAATGCAATTTCCTGTAATATGAACATCGTGATTATGCTGTACAAACTTGTTAGATTGTTCATATATGCTCTGTCCATTTCGTTCCATCCTGACGATCATACTCCTTTTTTCAGATGTTTGAGAAATATGGCGACTTGTGGCACCACAACAGGGTGCGGAAATATTTGACATCAGAAGACTGGCCCAAGAGCGAAACTGATGGTAGACCGTGGCACGGGCTCTCTCTGCTGCTAAGGAAGTACCCTGAGCATTTTGTGATAAACATAAGAATGTCAGGGGGGCGGAGCATTGAGTTTGTCTCTCTGGTTTCGCTGCAACCCTGACTAGTTCGTAGTGAGTCGCATCCTGTGTGGGACAAGCTTTGGAGCGTATGTTTCGCTGCTCTTGTAAACAGCAAAACTGAAGTTAGCAACAGGGTAGGAAAGAATCCTACAAAGGTTTTGTTTTTGTTTTCTCGGCGGTTAAATTGGTAGATACATAGAGTGTAGGGCAATTTTACCTGTGCATTATCAGAGTGCGAAAGTTTACCTTTCATTTCTCTCTTTTGTTGTTGTTGTGTGTGATCTGCCTCTTGGTGTTTAATCGCTCGGTGCCTGGTACATGCTGAGCTGAGATGGAGGGTGTTTTCCTGTTCCAGTTGGTCTCTGTGAGGGTCAGAGCGCAGTGTTGCATGTGAAGTGGTCAGCAAATGGGGCCTAATTTGGCACCGTTCACCCTTGCCCTGCTAACCATGCGCTACAATCTTTTCAAATGTTTTTGGAAATCAATTGTAGCAGTAGCATGACGGATAGATTGAGACATAGGAAGTGGATGTCAAAATAATTACCTAATGTCTGCACACTGATTCAGGATAAGTAAAAACTCCAGCTTCTCAACAAAAAGAAGAAAAAAAGATTTCACATGCCTGATTTTTTTTTTATTTTGTAGTCACATAAATTCCACTATAGTAAGATATTTTTTGCAGTGTTATGTAGTCTGCTATTTCACTTAATTTTACTGCAATCTTGTTTTTTATATGTATTTGAATTTTGTAAATCTTTATCAATTGAAGATTTATTTTAAGCATAGGTTTGTTGTTTGACCTTTATCTAATAGAAAAGGAATTTTAATTAGGGAACGGGGGAGTGATGTGACCTGATGAGAGTGGCTAGATTGGCATCCATGTTACAATTTCTTTTAGTCACATAAATTCCACTTTACTAATCTAAGGCTATCTTTGGGAGGTGAGATTGGGTACTTCACCTTCCGCACACGTAAAACGGAGCTACGTATTTTCTTATAATCAATTAATTATTCCTTACACTTCCATTCTGGTTAGAATCCCGTGTTTTTCCTGTTTCTTCGTTTTTTATTCCTGTTATTAAAAGACCCTAAAGGTACAACTTTATGTAGTCTGCAATTTTAGTTAATTTTACTGCAATTTTGTTGATGTATATGTATTTAATTTTTTATAAATCTTTGTCAGTTAGAGATATATTTGAAGTATAGGTTTGTTGTTTCAACTTTTCGTAACAAAGAAGGAATTTTAATTAGGGTTAGGGGCGGGAAGGCACGACAACCGCTATGCCAAATCCTCCGGGTGGATGAGATCATCCAATTTTCTTAACATCACCACGCAGGCCAGACTGCGAGTCTAACAAAAATTATTCCAACAAAATATCGTACAGACGCGGGCTTAATTGTTGGCACCAGGATTACTCAATCAGTGGACTCACAGAACACCAAACGTTGGTACGATATTTTCAGAATGATGCTAGACCAAACAATATGTTGGTCATTAATTATGTAGCAATTACGTACGTTTATCAATTTTTCATTGAATTACTGGAACAAGAAGAGAAGTTTAGCAATCTTTAATTAATTATTTAATTGTTTTTTTACTTATACTGTCTTTATATAAAAATCACTTTTTTCTATATCTACATGGTTACTATTTTTAGTAGCAAAATTATATTTTCTACCATTAATATTCCGGAGTTGAATTTTATTTATTTATTATGCACCAAAATAGGGAGTCTTTTAGAATCCCAAATTTATATTTCCTATTAGTTTCAATCCAAAATTATACATTATATGTTGTACATAAATAGTGTCCTTTCCAAATTTATTTTGTTTATAAATTAATACGGAATGTTTTTAAATATAAATATCAATTTTAATATGAATGGCTACATTTATTCAGGAATTTATCTTTCTATCTGTTCGTTCACTAATTTTAGAGCATTGAGCATACTTAAGGCAATTTTAAATTCGCCTTAAATTCATCAACATAACACAGTAAAGAGTCACAAATAACAATTGCACAACTAGCAGGAATATATATAAGCCCAAAACATGTTAAAAAATGGTAAATTTTATAGGGAAATTTTTCTGGAATACTTTTGACTAGTGAGCATTGAAGGGGGCAATACTGCTACTACTAGTGGCTAAGCAAATGCAAAATCAGTTGGAAGGGGCACTGGCACTAGGCCATGCTTAAATGAGCAGCCAGCTTTCACATTGGTCTCTTGATTATTGGTGCCAACAAAATTAATTGGTGGTTTTCAATGCACACCCATCTACAACCTCCAACTACCTTCCCAAGTTCTGGTTGGCTGGATAATGACCAGCAAAAATTAGTAATTTACATATGCAAGTTTTTAGTAAGAATGATTCACAGGGTAACAATACTCCTACTGCTAACTGTACTAGGTGTTACAGGTGTTTTGGTGGTTTCGGCTGTTTAATTAGCGTAGCTTTAGGGAGTGGGATGATCTTGAGGTACTTGTAGTACATTGTTTTTTTTTTGAGTAAACCATTTTTTTCGATGTTTTATCTCTCTTTATCAATGAAACGAGACATGACTTATGTCTTTCTTCTAAAAATTCCAACAGGGAGAAGCATAAGAAATGGCCTTTTGACGTCTCATAGGATTTTTTTTTCTTTTTTTACATTGAATGTATCTAACTGATTAGACCGAGAAGCGAGGTTCGAGTTCAAGTTTGGTTTCCTCCAAACTCTGGGCATGTTTAGATCCCCTGACAAATTTTTACTGTCTGTCACATCGAATGTTTGGACATATATATGGAGTATTAAATATAAACGAAAAAAAATAACTAATTATATAGATTGCGTGTAAATTGCGAGACGGATCTTTTAAGCCTAATTGCACCATAATTTGACAATGTGGTGCTAAAGTAAACATTTGCTAATGATGGATTAATTAGGCTTAATAAATTCGTCTCGCGGTTTACAGGCGGATTCTATAATTTGTTTTGTTATTAGACTACGTTTAATACTTTAAATATGTGTCCGTATATCCGATGTGACACGCCAAAACTTTACACCCATGGATCTAAATACAGCCTAAGTTTAAAAAGAAAATAAATAGAATCTCTAGTAATTTTTCATATGGATTAGTCATCTTATCATATGGATCTTGTTAATTCATACTAGTATGGAGTAGTCATCTTATCTAAATTAAATAGAATCTCTAGTAATTTTACACCCATGGATCTTGTTAATTCATATGGAGTAGTCATCTTATCTAAATTAAATAGAATCTTAGTAATTTTTCTATGAATTTAAAATCCTCTGAAGTGTATAAGTAAACAAATATTGTTCAACATACTCAACATACACAAAAAAAACAACTATTCCAGAAAAAGGGGCAATTTTTGCTAGAGTACACCCAAAATATGTGCAATTTGTTGATAGACGTCGAAAAAATATGTCACGGCTGAAGCACGTCCTAAAAAACTGGTAATCTGCTAGAGAACACTTTCGGTTTAATTAGATTGATAAATTCTTAAGAAAGAAGAGAATGCTCCTAAGACCACATGTTTCAAACATGATGTTCGAGTAAAATTTTAGAAAGCATGCAACTCTAATTTTGCCGTCACCCCAAGTACATTACTAGTATAAATTATATTCCATCTTCGCTCCAGTTTCAGCCCAAAGGCTTTTGACCCTATGGGCATTCTTGTCTTTTTGAAAAATTTCTCTCTAATTGAGCCAAAAGTGTCATCTGGAAAGTTATCAGTTTTTTATAGTCTCTCAACAATGACATGTTTTTACGATATCTACCAGTAAATTACATAATTTTTTATTGTCCTATAGCAAAATTTGCCAAAAAAAATCAAGAAACAACTAAAACTATGAAACATAATGAGTAATTCTTTTCCTTTATTTTTCTATATAGCTTAGTGGTATCTCACTTCTCTTTTTATTTTAAGGATCACTTGGAAGTATGACAATATAGGTGAAATTTTGACTCTTATTATTATTATCACTTCTTTTGATGTGATTATTCGTATTGTTATTATTGCATCTTGCATGCGAATGTCTTCAGCAAAGTTTCAAAGTTTGATGGGGACTCTACGCTAACGAGCACGAATACATACTAGGGCCGAGTTTAGTTTCAAACTTTTTTTTTAAAACTTACAACTTTTCCATCACATCAAAACTTTCCTACACACATAAACTTCCAATTTTTCCGTCACATCGTTTCAATTTCAACCGAACTTCCAATTTTGGCGTGAACTAAACACACCCTACCTCTGTTTCGCGCGTGCGCGTGGGGGGGTGGGGGGTTAGTTTTTTCTGAGCGCATTGCTTCACAAAACCCCATATTTCAAACGATGTATTTTGACTGGTGACATATAACCTCATATATTATGATCCTAAAGTACCGCTATGCATGTTGAGTATAGATTTACTTCAAATTTTAAAATGCAGAGTGTATATAACATTTTAAATTATTGAGTTCTTGACTAACGTTAACAATTTAACTTTTTACTACTTTTAAAAATATTGTTTTAGATATGCTCAAATTACTCGAGATTTGAATAAATGGGGGGTTTTATAAAATGTTTAGGCCACAACAATTATAGTTATATGCCACAAGTAAAAATGTGGGACTTTCTAAAAATTACTCTGTTTGTTTACATGGATAAATACATATTAGCTCGGTTTGGTTCTTTGGCACAACATTATCATAAAATCCAAAACTAATTTTGAATTTTAGTTCTAAAGAATAATTTCAGGTATATTTTTAGTTGTCTTCTTATCAATCATTAAAAGAGAGATGGACAACGAAAGTGGCAAATGAACCTCCTAAAATCCATCCAAAATGGAACTCATAAAATTTAGAATCAGTTGCAAACACTATCAGGCACCCACTAGATAGTAGAAACACACAACCATCAAAGGGTAAATACAACACTCGTGCCTGCCCTTTGGTCATGTGACAATATCTTCCTCACCAAGGACAAATTGTCTCCCATGAGGAGTCATATAGCTGTAAGAACCATGTGGCATGGGAGACTTGAATCTCTAGCTGCACCAAGGACAAAAGTTGGGTTTGAATTGTACTCGGCATTATTGACTGTTTGAGGTGCTAAAAAAAAACTCATTCATATATACATATGGAAATATGATGTTTTTTTTGCGGAATATGTACATAACTCCCGTGAAATTACCGTGTTCCGAATATCGCAAGAGTGACAAATGGTTGAGGGTTAAAGGGTTTTACATGACAATAAGATAGGGTGGGACAGGCCTGGAGCTCCAGCTAGACTCAGATCAGATGTGGTTGTGCAGGAGCTCATGTGCATTGCCTGATGACCACAAGAGCACAAATCAATGGTCGAGGTCTCAATTTAATACCGAACTAATTTTTTTGGTCCATGATGCCGCCCAGTACTGTTGCAGTGTCCTGAAGAAGCTGGCTTAGAAATGCCATCACAGCGTGAAAAAACCATATCCTGTAGGGCACGCTCTTTTTGGACCATCTATCCGACCCGACGCTCAATCTGATAATCTTGCTGGTATTTTGTTTCTCTCTCTCTCAGTGATTTGCGCTCTGTTCACCCCCTGAGGTTATTTTCCTATAATTAGTTGGAGTTTTCGATTTTTTTCAGCAAATTCGAGCATTGGAAATGGCTCTAAACTGCAACAGAAACTTATGATGTCGATGACCAAATCACCATGCTCATTTTTGTTTATTCACTGAATTATTGGTGCGGATTATTTAGTACATGCTTCGAAAAATATGATTTTTGAAAGAAAAATAATTTCTACTGCATTGCTTAAACCACTTGTGGCAAGCTATTTATCAGATTTATAACATATAATAATTAATCCATCAACATTAATTTATCTTCGAATAATCTAAACAGAAAATCTGCAGAAGGCAACTATGGATGGTTTAGGAGCCAAATGAAGTGTGGACAAGTCCTACCCTAATATACTTATTTTCCTTTCTATGTCTCAATGACATTGCCATAGTGGCATGGACTGTCAACAAAGACAGCAAACAATATAAAAAACATATACTAAAATGGACAGCCACTAACCACAACATTTACTTTCATTGAAGACGGTAGTTAATAGTTATTGTGTAGTACTGCACAGGAGAATTAAAGAAGGAATGCATCCCTCAGGACAGCTGATTAAAAAATTTGATAGAAAAGGCAAAGATTAGCTGATGTGCAATATCAAAGTGTAAAGTGCAAACCTTCAAAATCAGATAGGAGGACATATGCTAAGGCAGAGCTTGAAATGTAGTATTCAAAAGGAATTTCAGCTGGATTGAAAACGAGTCAAGCCAGATGCCAATATCATCTAATACGAACTGGCCCTTAATTACTTCAGTACATCTGCTTGTCCTAGTCTTATACTTTATAATAGGAACTACTTAGACTAAAACTTACTCAAATGCATCAATCTAAAAAGTTTCCTACACAAAAAACATACTTCTACAAGAACTGATCAGAGCTAACTTTTGTTTTTTTTTTTTTTGAAACCTTGCACACAAATTCATCAGATTCTTCTCCAACAGTCAGAGTCAGAATAATATTCAGTTAATTGTGCTAATAGAATCAGGTGGACATCACATCAACAAGGCATTAGAACTGCAAACCAAAAACTGTGCAACAGAATGAATGCTAGATTGCATCAATTAAAAGCATAACAAGAAAGGAAACAGAACTTGACATTGTAGATGATATTATGATTGATAAGAGTCGTGCTGCATGTACCCTGTATCTATCGCTGCCGCATTCCACGCATCACCACATATTAAACATCAGTTGTACACATGCTAGATTCAATCACAACAAAACCAAATCAGGAAAACAATTTTTTTCTCTGGTACTGAACAGAAATCCACCAAGTCACCCATTGTCTCTGAGAAGAACCATACTAGCTCTGCAATATGAATTTGAAGACAGTAAACTAAAGCGGTATATATTACACGACCACTAGGAAGAATATGCGTAACAATACAGAACAAATTCAATTTTGTTTCAAATATACCAAGATACTAATTAATTATATCCACAATTCAATAGGCACCACATTAACCAGTCACCCCCCAAAATGGGGAAAAAAAAACTAACCAAAAAACATCCATCCATCCATCCATCACAAAGCTACTCATAGCTACCAATATTTCCACTCACTACAACTACTAACTATATGATCCAAGTGTTCTTCCAATCCCAAACAAATTTCTTCTTAGCATTTCTCGATTTGGCACCAACCAAAGAAAAATCAAAAAGAGAAAAAAAAACAAAGAGATTAAAAGCAGCATTAAGCATTACTGTTTTTTTTCTTTTACTTGGGGTTTCTTGCCTGATTTTCTTGGCTGATGTGCTGTGCTGCATATCTGCTAGAGGTGGCAGTTGAGGCAGTTGCAGGTTCGCGGGGTGAAGGAGCAGACGCCGAAGGGGCGGTTCGGGATGTTGCAGTTGATGGCGTAGCAGCAGGGCGCCGGGATGCACACCCCGTGCGGGCCCCCGCAGCAGGTGCACACCGCGCATATCTGGAACCTCCCCACCAGCCTCCGCCGCCGCGGCACCATCCCGGCGGCGCCGCCCTCCACGTACGTCTTCCTCAGCCTCGGCCTCCACCCCTCCCCCGCCGCCGCCGTATCATTTCCCTACGAAACCGAACACGAACACGGTCAGTACAGTTCTTGGTTTCTTGAAATGCAAAGAGAGAGAGAGAGTGGAGATGGGAGTGGTACTTGGGGTTGGTGTTGGGCGAGAGCTTGCGCCGCGAGGAAGGCGGCGGCGACGGCGGCGAGGAGGGAGACGAGGAGGAGGAGTGGAGGTGAGGAGGAGGATGCCATCCTGTGGTGGCTGGGTGGCAGAGGGAGCCAGAGGAGGAGAGGAGGGGGGGTTTTGTGGGACTCCCACAGTGGGAGTGTGCTGAAGAGAAGAGAGGGTGCAATTATGTTGTACAGGAGGATTATTTATGGGAGGGTATGAACAATCTAATATTGCATTTTCTTTTTTAGAGGTTTAGAAATGTAAAATCTGTTTATTGTGCGGATTGAAGCTTGAGCTGCAATCAATCATTCAATTGTGTGGATATTCTAGGGTTTTTTTTTTCTTTTGTGGCATTGATTGGGATCCAAAAGGTTGGTGCTGGGGTTGTGAGATCTTGCGACGTAGATTCCATTTTTTTATTGGGATACATATTTTATCTTGATTTTTTAGCATAATTAATTTTCACTATTTTGTACGAAAATTTTATATTATTCTATTTTTTAAGTTTGAAATAATTAAAGCTTATTTAATCATGTATTAATGGCTTTCTCGTTTTACGTGTCTGTATTTAATCTTTATCTTTTTTCTGCAAGATTTATTGATACACGTTTGGACGATATACAAGAATTTATAAACATTGAGTGTCAATTTATCTTTCGTGAAAAATACATTTATATTGTACACGGTAAAATCAGGCATATACAATAGTCTTGAACTCCAATATCATAACTTAATAATTTATAGAATTTCTGAATATATCTCAATCAATATTGGCGGCACAAGTCGCAAAATTTGTGACTCCATAAAACTTCACATTTCCATAATAGATTTCACCTAGTGTTGAGAATAATACTCACTCCGTCTCAAAATATAGCAACTTTTCTAGTTTAAACTTTGTCCAAATATTAGCAACCTAGTATTGGTAAAATGAGACTATTAGCACTAAACTACTTATATAAGTTTACTACCACTTGATTTTATTGTAGCCCCAATTAGTCCAGACCTATGCCTTATATATTTCGAAGAGGTAACTGAGAATGTGTCGAATGAAAACTTAGTGTATTTTAGGTCTGGTTTAGTTCCCCAAATTTTTTTTCAAAAACATCAGATCGAATCTTTGGACACATGTATGGAGCATTAAATATAGATTAAAAAAACTAATTGCACAGTTAGGGGGGAAATCGTGAGATAAATCTTTTGAGCCTAATTAGTTCATGATTATCTATTAATGCTACGATAACCCACATGTGCTAATGACGGATTAATTAGGCTCAAGATTATCTCGTAGTTTCCAGACGAGTTATAAAATTAGTTTTTTTATTCGTGTCTGAAAACCCTTTCCGACATCCGGTTAAATATCTCATGTGGCACAAAATTTTTTATTTTTCACGAACTAAACAGGCCGATGGAGCGAGTAACAAAAACCCATCAAGCTGGCAGAGCTAACAATTAAGCACAGCCCTCGTCTAAACGCAATCACCAACTCACCAGCATCCTACAAACAGAGAAAACCGTAGATAGGATAGGAGTACAATAATACTATGTGAATACGTCAGTGAGCCAACCCCAACGCAGCAGCAGCTAGCTTCACTACTGCAGAAGATCTCCTTCCGTGTAGATGGGGACATCGACGGATAGTTGGCCGGCGTTGGGCAGCCATTAAATCTGGAGCAGTTGCATCCTGCATGTTACTATCCAGCTAGCCTGCCTCCTGTGCTTGGATGCCCAGTTAGCTGCATACAATTAAGAGCCATCCACCCATGCATTTTACATATTTTTTCCCCTAAAACCTGTAGGGCATGCTTGTTAATTTTGAATTTTTGCAACTTAAATTTTCCAATCTATGGTTTTTCTAGTCGTTTTTGTTCCTTAGCCAGTTTTCGACCGCGAAGAGCATAGGTAGGAAAGTCTTACCTAAAATTATAATTAGTCTTATTCCTCGTTATTGTGTCTTCGCGGCTTATAATTAGACTAGCTTATAATTAGACTGCAGTGCCTTTCAAGCAAGCCCTACGTTACTGCACTATTAAGAGCATATGGTACGGATGTTATGGAAACTTCTACAAGATTATTGCATCTCTATACATTGAAGACAATCAAACACAAAGGATTACAAGAAGTTTGATGGGTAAATTCAGAACTTGTGTAAATATGTGTTGGAGGAGTGTGTGTGTGTGTGAGAGTGTGGTCCTTTAAATTCCTGAAGCCCCACATGGCAGGCTACAAGGTGGCAGAAACCAGAAATGGCTGCCTGCCTTGTTACTGTGTGATAACAGCTACATTGCTTGGCTTATGTGTGTTTGAGAGGGTACAACAATTTCGATGGCTGCCTTTGGTTGCTACGTTTGGTTCATGGGCATTTGTTGGCCTCATCCCAAATGGCATTTGCAGCCTTGGCAGGGGTATCTGATGCTGAAGGGCTGCCTTCATTGGCCCCCCTTTTGTGTCATGGGCAAGGCATTGGTGAAGATCTGATTACATTGTTGATTGTTGGCTGTCTTCTCTATGTGGGGAATTGTGAAATGGTGAAAGTTGCAACATGGACAGCTTGCAAATAAGGTGAAAATAACACTCACTGCATGTCTGTACACAGGCAAGATAAGGAGTGACACTTGCCGTGAAGGTGACACGACACAACAAATTTTCATGTTTTTAGTAAGCTCGATCGGTGAGCAACTTTTATTGGTGGCATATGCATAAATGACCAAGGGAACATGGTACTGTCATCTTGATTCGTCAGACACGACGTGTCATGGAAATTGGGACAATTCCAGGCAAGATTTTAAATGTGGGGTTTACGTGGTGTTTGGGAGAGGAGGGACTTATTTTAGTCTCTCTCACAAAAGCACAAGTCCCTTACTAAACACCACCTTAGACCCTGGCCTCGTATTCCAGCCAAGTTCGGCTTCGTGTGTGATTGAGATGGACGAAGGCCATGAAACAGAGGGTGAGTTGTAGTTGTGACTCCACTAATAGACTCATTCTGGTTCCATGTCTGACAAAATTTGTTACATGATATTTAAAATTTGTATAATTTACTGTTAGACATCGTAAAAACGTGCCAGACATTGTTAAAAACTGGTAATCTACTAGAGAACACTTTTGGCTTAGTTGGGAGAGAATTTTTTCAAGAAAATGAAAATGCCCTCCAGTAAATTACTATGATGGAATATGATGTATGTTAGTGGTGTACTTGGGTTGATAGTAAATTTAGATTTGCATAATTTCTAAATTTTACTCTCACGCCATATTTGAAGCATATGGTCTTGGGGCAATCTCCTCTTTTTTAATAATTTATCTTTCCAATTGAGCCAAAAGTGTCCTCTAACAAATTACTGATTTTTAAGTGACTTTCAGCCATGACACGTTTTTTTATGTCTATAAGCAAATTACACAAATTTTGAGTATTCTGTAGCGAATACAAATGCTCATATGCACACGAGTTTAGTTCTATGTACACATGCACACTCTACTCTCAATGTATCAAAAAGGGTACAATATTGTCAACTAAATATATATAATATATTTGATTCTCACAGACAGAATTGTGATGAAACTAAATATATATTTGATTTTTTATTGTGTGCGTAACGTGAATTAATTCTGTGACCATTTTATTTCGTACAAATATATTTGAGTGTGTGTACTCTAGGTCCTTTTATTGAGTGCCGGATGCAGCTTGTTCTGATTTGTTGCGATTGTACTGTACAAACCCAGAAACCCTGCGCTGGCATGTATATACGTCGCTTCAAGTTTTGGTAAATGAATGATGTACATACAATTTGCCTGTTGCATTAAGTTTGGTGAATGTACGGGGTGAAATAAACTGGGGATTGTATTTGACACAAATATTTTTGGAGCGGATGTAAATGCTAAATATAAAGTAAATTTCACAAAAGCCGAGACTATCTCTTTGCTACAACTTTGAGGGAGTATTTCATAAAACTGTAACAAATAGCAAACGGTTTTACGAGAAAATTAATTTTATCCTCAATGCATATGGAATGTGGAACAACTCTTATTAAGAGAGTGCGAGTATTATCCACGTACTAGTACCTGTGTGATAAGTAGGCTAAATTCGTAAGGCAAATAAATAATGTTGTAGTTCTCTGAAATATTTAGCTAAAGCTAGAACATAATTCTGACTATTTACCTTTTTTAAAAATTGCTCTTAAATATATGTCGGTATATTGAGCAGTAATCATATATATAGAAATTGTGATATAAATTAGGCATATGCTCAATTTTTATTCCGTCGTGGGTACAGTGACAACCTGACCCTCTCTGTGTGAAAGAGTAGCTTTTTCAGCGTATGTGGGCCTTGCTGACAGATTCATAGGGAATGGTGTAGTGATTTGCAGGTGCGAATACCTATTCGATCTGGTGGATTTCGACACGATATATCTTTTTTTTTCCATTTGTAAATGATATTATACATATCCCCGCAAAAAAAATTATACATATATACTCTACTCCAATTTCCTCAGAACTTCTCCTAAATGCATAAGGTTGAAGCACTGTACATTATATCATCTGGGGCTTGTTCGGTATTTTCGATGGATGAAAATGGTCGGAAAAACCCTATACCATTTTTATTTTCGTATTTTTTTTCTCAAAAATGGAATCGGAACAATAGACTCGGAAATTGTAACGATATCGGTAATATCGGTATATCGGAAACGGGACCATCGGAACGGAATATACCGATATTGGTCGGAAGTCAAAATTTAATGTCGGAATCAGCGGAGTGTGGCATAGCACGCATTTAACTATGCACGTAGATGAATTTTTAACTTAATTTTTGCACCATCACACTCCACATAACACCGTTATATGATAATTGGTGATACGATAATAAGTTTGACAAACAACATAAAGAAAGTTCAACAATACTTCATACTTCAACATCGATAAGTTGAGGAGACTAAAGTTCAGCAAAATCCACATGCCATGTCATAGGGTTAACAATATTTTCCCTGGTCACTTCCCCTTTTATTATGGGCTGCAAGCCTACCGGGTTTCTTTCATTCATGGGCTTCCGATAAGTTGAGGTGGCTGAGCCGCTGGGGAACTTTCGGAATTTTGATGGAAATTACCGTATAAATACGGTTACCGACAAACGGTCGGAAAAATCTCCATCCCATTTCCACTACCATTTCCAGAAGAAATTACCGTTTCCATTTC